GTTCCAATACAGTTATTTGTTTACTGGCTAAAAACTTCCTCACAGACAGTGCCATGTGAGCTGTTGCATTGCTGTGATGCAAGAGCCATGAATTGTTGGCAAAAAGTTCAGGTCTTCTAACTTTTTCATGCAGCCTTTTCAGCACTTCCAAATAGTAAACTTGGTTAACTGTTTGTCCAGTTGATATAAATTCATAATGAATAATCCTTCTGATATCAAGAAAAGGTTAGCAACATTGTTGCAACAAATTCCGGAGCCTAATTGTCAGACCTCGTATACATATTTATACACATATACACATATAGTTTACATACATATGTATACACATTTGTTTTATTTTCTTTTTTGTTTGTGTTTATTTCTTTTTTACTCAAGGTACATTTAGTATCTTTGTCACAGGAAGGCTGACAATAGAAAACTCTTCTCATATGTAAAAACTCAAAAATAAGCCAAACTGAGTGGCAAGTGAAATAATTGCTCTGAAAAGCAAAAGAACAGTCCAACATTTATTAACAAGTTTCTTCCTGAATTTTCTTAAATTAAACACACACACACACACACACACACACACACACACAGGAAAGTTTGCTTGTACTTAAACTGCTGTTTTCTGTTTTTAATTTTGTTAACATGTATCTCATTGCCTTTATGAATAGGAATAGATAGTGTATATACATATTATAGAACCAACACTTGGGGATGACGGTTTGCCTTCTGGGATGCTTGCATATGGTGGGTGAGTTCTCTGATTACCAGGCTTCATCACAGCTCCCTCAACCAATACCTTCATTTAATTTGCAATATCTCTGCAAATTGGTCTCTCAGTCGCACAATTAAGTCACTTCTAGCCATTTTGGAATCGTATTTTAAGCAGTCATCTTGCCTTAATTCCCACAGGCTCTGAGCTCCTGAGGGCAGAGACCATGACGTCTTTGTGCATCTAGCACAGGGCCTGCCCAGAGCAGGTGTTCAGCAGATGTTTGCTGAGCAGAACTGTCAGTTACCTAATGGAAAAAGAGAAGAAAGGCATTTTTTTACTGAAGTGACTGCTCCCAATAGAAATGAATTGAGCCTTATGTAGTATAGTAACTACATACTTACTCTCCCAAACGCAGGCCAGTTTCTGACTGGCCCGTTGGTAGCTGATCACAGGCTCAATCCCGTCTCTGTTTCTGAACATCTTAAACCAAGTTCTCTCTTCTCTTATTATGTAAGAAAGAGACCCACGGATAGTTGTTTTGGGTCAAAGGAACATATTTAAAACATTGATGCTTTAAAATTTTAGATGAAATGTTAATCAAAGTTAGCTTTGATGATTTACTTTATATCTCTGTTCTTTAATTATGGATGGCAATTCCTTAGGAAGAGCACGAGAGTTCTCTTTCACATCCCCAAATATTATTTTTTAACAAACAGAATTCTTAAAACTATTTTGAGTTTTTAAAAATTGCTGGTTGCTTTGCATTTTGCTAAGTGGTTGGTTTGTTGGTTTGTTTTTCTCCTAAATTTTATCTGCAAAGGCTTGAATTATTTTTTTTTTTGTTATTCACATTTCTTAATAGCAGTCTTAGTAGAAGTTTTAATAAAGATGGGTAACTTCAGTCAAATGGGACAAGCATAGTTAATTTCCTCCCATGGCAATTATAAATATTAGGAGAATTTTCGTGGCTGTGTCATAGCTTCCTAGTGATGCAGAATTGGTAAGACTTACATGATATATAAACACGTGACTTGTTACACATCATTATAGCAACCGTATGATAAGAACAATGTAAACAGCTTCTCCTTGCAACAGATCGTCATTAGAAGAATCACTGCATTCCAGGTTTGAGGAGCATCCTTGTCCCTCAAGAAAATGTTAAGTCCTGGTCCCATCCAGAAAGCGCATAAAAAGACTTCAAAATAAACTCCTCGTTAAATATCCCCCCATCTTTTATAAAAATACCGAAATAATATTCTCACAAAGAAAGCAGAATCTGAGTTTAGAGAATAAGTATCAAGAACATGCACAAAAGCTTTCGTTTCACCCGTATATGAATGGCTCCAGAGAAAGATACATGAGAAAAACAATCAACTACATAACATAGTCTTCATGGCACCTAACTAGGGGCAGGGGAGGAGGAAATAAATAGTTCATAGGATAAGTCCTCTGTCCCATAGTCCAGTCAGGGAGATCCCATGTCACAAGGCGCTAAACGTCCAGACATCTTTTCAGGTAACTTCCTGAGAGCTGGACTGTTCTTCAGAGTTTCTCATCGCATTCTTGCCAAATGTCAACATTATTGCCTTCAGTGTCCTCAGCCTGAAGTCAGCCATCCTGCAATATGAATGACAACCTGTTATACAGCTGGGTCTCATTTAACAACATAAGAGTGTTCCTAGAAAGCAGTTTATTGGATAAATTCGAGAGATCACCTCAAATGATCAGTACCTTGTACTCTCAAGATGTAGAGGGAATTAAAAGATCATGTAGTCCACCCAGCATATGAAATCTTAAAGACTTCCACACAGAGAGTCTAACAAGGATGCTTACTATAGTGCTCTCTACAGGGTGGTCCGTAAAACATTGGTCTCTGAAAGGCTCCTTGTTGGTGTTTCTTTCTCTTATTCACTTTTATGTTCTTATTCACTTTTATATTCCTAGCCTGAACTGTGCTAGGCCAGTAGAAAAAGCGGAAGGATAGGACTGAAATATTTGCTAAGATGATCAGTAGGGGAAGCAATAAAAATGAAGATGGTATCGCAAATCTATAGGGGAAGAGAGTAAATTAGTTGGTTGCCTAGGGTGAGAGTGAGGTGGGGGAGATGAGGAGTGACTGCTTAATGGGTATAGGGTTTCTTTGTGGAATGATATCAATTAGACTGTAGTGATACTTATGCAATGCTGTGAATATACTAAAAACCATTGAATTACATACACTTTGGATGGGTACATTTTATAATATTAAATTCTATCTCAAGCTGTTTTTAAAAGCTGGCATTATCATAAAGGGAAAAATGGCTCAGCAGGAACTTGCAATAAACTTCATATGACTGAAGATAATACGTGGTCTCCTTATTAATTGTCCTCAATGAGGAAGGAACTAGAGGAATTTCGGTTAAAGGTCATTGGAGTTTTCCTCATCACAGAAAACTATGGAGACTAGGTCTCCTGAAGAGCGTGAAATGTGGAAGACCACCCATAAGAATAAACAGCACTGGTTAGATCCACTAGGATCTCTGCCTAACCCAATATTCTGTTCATGAGAGAGAGTGATTCAGTAGGGAGGCAATGGCTGCCCTCCATAACATTGCTTTAAAGGTTAGGACTATGACACCAATTTCCCCCAATCCTTTTTCTTAATACACTATGAAGTGTTGACTAATAAATGTATCTAAGTCCATCTTGAATCAATTTATATTTTCAGCTTGTTCTAACAAATTCCATATGCTTCCCAATTTCCTTTGGATGATTGGAGTGTAGTTTCTGTGCAGAGGCAGAGCCTGGCCTATAGAACCTTGAGGTCCCCACGTCTCTACTTCTCACCACCCCATTCTCCATGATGGTGTCAAAAGCTTTTTTTAAAATAGGGGCAAGAGTTTCCAACTTTCCTTGTCTATCTACCAGCCAGCCTTTTCCACTGGCTCCCCTGAGTTTGGGCCCTGGTTCTAACCTGGAAAACTAAGCTGACTGGTATACACACTTGTATACTGAACACACACAATAGTCATGGGTCCCTGGAACATTATTTCAGTACACAGACATGGAATCGGAGACACAAAACCATTTGCCCAGAGTCACATATCTGGCCAATAGCAAGACTAAAAAAGTGATATTTCTTGATTCCCAACCATGCTGCTCTCAAAACCACCCAGGCTGCCTCCCAGACTCACTGTAACACTCATCTCAGCCCTTTTCAACTTCCCTCTTTTGACTTTTTTTTTTTTGTGTGTGTGTGTGGTTTGACCCAACACTGACCTCACCATCCTGTCTGGCCTCACCCATGTCTGCTTCATCCTGGTCAAGCTCAAACTCGGTGCCACGGTCAACAACATCCACGCCAGCCTGAACCCTGGGCTTCTCGTTTTCCCACTTTGCAAAGCCTTTGTCCTTTGCTGCTTTGTCATGGAACTTGGATTTCATTTTGGGGAAGGTGTGAGATCCCGAGTCCCCCCAGCCAGCCTCCGACCATACAGGCTCGGTCTGGGTGGCCTGGCTCGTGGTGGCCCGCTGCAGCCTCACGGAGATCTTACGAGAAGAGCCTGTGACCAGGGTGATGGCTCTGCTGTCCAGGTCTTGGTGGCCAGCAGCAACGCCAGGGAACTCGAACACCTCATCCTGCGCTGGAAAGGGAAAAATTACTGTGATTATTTGACATCTGATTGCTTCGTAGCAAACCATCAGAGTTGGTGCGAATAATAGGGGTCCAATGGGCCAAGGTCCCAGAGGAACAGACCAGAGGCAGAGTGAAACTGGCTGCAGGTGAGTTGCATGTTAGTGAGACCTGAAAGCAGAGAATCAAGGGGGATTCAAGGGTGTGGTCACTGCTGCTCTCCTTGAAGAACGCCTTGGTGTTTATGATGACCAGGTTTAGATCCAGAACCCAACAGAGGTCCAGGTATGGAAAGGTGAGCAGAGAGAAATCGCAGTGGGCAAGGAAGTAAGTAGAGGACATTACCTGGGGGCAAGGATGGGCTTCCGGGCAGCGACCCATGACTGCTGCCTAAGGAAGGTGCCCGGGCCAATCTCCTGCAGGCCAGAACCAGGAGGTCTTTGCATTGCTTGTGACAATTGGCTCCACAGTCTGAAAAATCCCAAAGTAGCACAAATGATTAGTGTGCACCAAGCACGTCTGGTGCTGACTGGGCTTCAAGGATGGCCCTTGAGCTGGCCACCCTCCCCTCCCCCACCCTTGAGTCTGTGTTGAATCTCAGAGTCAGACTCAGGCCCACAGGGTGTGTCTAGGGCCTGGAACAAGGCCTGTCGGACTCTCTTGTCTTCCTGGGGCTCCTAAAGTTCCCTTATTGGGTTACGGGAAAAGTCATGACACATTTTTGCAACGAAAAACAGAAAAAAATACATCATGACTTTTCCGATAACCCAATGTATTGGTTCAGCTTCTTCCTCTACATAATTCATTGACATGTTGGAGACGCAGCAAGCATGGGCTAGGCTGAGTGGGGAATTGCCTTTGCCCCAAACTAAATGCGAATCACGCAGGATTGGGGCTCTTTCCCAGGCCAAGATGAGTTCCCCACAAAGAGGCTCCCTAAGCCAGAATGAGGCACAAAGCCTCAGCTTCTAGTCTCTCCCCAGACCAACTGCTGACTTATTCAGTCTTTGTCTGCTTTTTATTTATTATTATTATTCTTCATTTCCCAAAACCTTTTCCAGGGCAAGGGATGATATTTTCTGCCTCCTTTCTTTGCATAGAAACAGAGAACACATGCTCAATAGACATGTTCCAGGTTTGACAATGGCTTTGAAATGGCATGTAGCAAATTCTGTGAAATTTCCCATTGGGATATTTTAGTTAAAAAAGTACAATATTAATTGCTACTTGGGGTAGAAATTTTTGGCCACTTTGGAAGATAGCAACACAATTGTTTCCTAAGAGAGCCCTACGTTTCCCTTAGATTCACTGAACAGATATGATCATTTTAAAGAGTGTATTTCTCTCTCTCCATCAAGGAAGACCTTTCTAATGATTTCCAATACCTATTTTCCCCAAAATGGTCTTGTTTCAAATGGACTTGTAATGACATTATAGAAAAATCAAGTTATAATGACATGTTCAGTCTATTTCAGTTTTTTTACTCTTTGTGCCTTTAAGGGAAAAGGCCATGTATATAAAGATGATCGAAGGGTTTCATTGATATTCATCCTCATAAAATAGTGTGTGTGTGGATGTGTGTGTGCACGCGCGCACATGCACATCTTTTAGGGGATACAAGACAGAAACCAGAATAAAACTAATTACTTATAGCTAAGCAGTAAGGTATTGTAGTATCTTTTCTGCTTGAAAGATAAATGCAACTTAGACTCAGACATTGACACAGAGAACTAAAGGAAAGAAAGGTATTTTTTGAGCACTAAAACGTGGCTCTCATGAAGGTTCAGGGAAACTCACTGTTCATGCAAAATGAGGGCCAAATACTGAAAAACGGCTGGAGAAACAAAGACATCACAAGGGGACAATATTAACCTGAAGGCAGTCTGCGTTTTAGTGTTTCCTTTTGTAGTTTTATTATCTTTTCCAAGAGCACTGTGAGATTCTTAAAGGAACCAGTATAAAGAGTCTGCATAAAATATTCAGCAATTTCTTAAATACCAATAATGTGTAATAATCATATGTGTACAAGTAGCAACACATCCCTAAATGCCCATTAATATGTGTACTGCATTCATCATATGTATGTGTCCAGTTGTTTATACATTTTAATTAAATGGGGAGATATATGAATGAATTCATTGAAAAGGATAAAAATAAGTTTAAGGTTTTTCCTCTTTTTTCATCATCATCTGTGATTTCGTAGAGAAAGGCATAGCGATGTGACAGTAGCAGGAAATTCATACGTATTACTGAAATAAGTGTTATGTTTCTATTTTTTCCCCCTGAGGGAAAAAGGTCTTATATACAGTATTCTAGTTAGGCCTGTCCCACTTCAGAATTCCCATCCGTGTGCTGATGATGAGCAAGACAGTTTAGAGATGGGGGCTCCATATATGCAGGTTCATAGGGGTGCTTTGCTTCCTCTTCCAACAAGCTATAAACATCCAGTCGGTCTCTCCAACATTCCAGGGAATCCTTTCCTGGACACATTAACTCTTCAGTTGCCAGGGGCCCAAAAGATCCGAGTTCTCCACAATGCCAAGCGCTGTTGTGTTTCATCAGACAAATTTGATTCCTGTCCCAAAAGTCACATCCTTAAATTTTAACCAAGAAACATTTATTTACCTTTGCATTTGTAGCCTTGCTTGATTATGCCCCAGAGCTGTAACAAAAGACAAAGGGATGTCAGGGAATCGGAAGAAAAGGCTGGAAAGAAAACAAGGCCAAGGAGAAGGAAATCCTGGGAAGCTGATGACTAGTGGGGCACAAACAGGATGTAGCTGCTCCTGACTGACACCCTTCCTGTCGGATAGGAGAACCCCCTCCCAGCCCACTCCAGCTGGGGTGATAACAGGAATTTTGCTTCCTTTTTCTTTCTGGGAGCCAAATGGGAACTGGGATTGGAAACCGACGTTGGTGCATTTATTGGACTTCAGCATAATGTTCTCTCAGCAAAAGTTACGGGGGGATCTTTATCACTCTGTCTTCAGCCTTCTCTTTACTCACACGCGGATCTCGGTGCCCACTGCGGGGACGGAAGCAATCTAAGCGGTGCGCACCTCTGTAAGGCATTTATATTTTGCTAGGTTATTTTCTGAGTAGCATTTGTACCTTGAAAGAATACAGAAGAGGAAGAGATCTAGTATTGTTGATTCATGTATTCATTTTCCGCCTTTGCTCAGTGTTGGGCCTGTGCCAGGGCTTTGGGAGATGCAGAAAAGGCCCAGATTGTGTCCATCAAGCAGGAAGTGGGATGTAGAAAGTGACAAATGTCTCAGGAGAGATGTGAGGGCTTACAGTTCAGCGAGGGAGCGTTTGCCCAGGTGGTTCCAGGGTATCGACCTAGTGGTGGTATCGTTGCCCTCCTGACACACCGTAAACTTCATGAAGAAGAGGCCTCACCATGTTCTTTCTCATGCCTTCCTTAGCTCTTGCACATGGGTACCAGGGACACCAGGAACATAAACGTATGGATGAATTAAATGGTCTTAGCTCAAGCTGGAGAAGCCCCACTCCTAACCTAACTGTAGTGGTTCGGTTAGGTGACTGATACCTACTTAAGAAAATGATTTTGAAAACAGCAGGGCTGGTGGCCTACTGGGGCTGACGCAAGTGTCATTCATAATGCATTATAGAGGAATAATGCCCTGGGTGTGGGTATTACGGCCCTATGAGAAGAGTAAGTAGCTGCCAATGTGAAGTGATTCAAGGCCATCAGGAAGGCTGCTCCTTACCCTTCTTCTGACAAGAAAATTTCACCAGTGGAGAGTGATTCCTTTGAACCTTAGAAGTTATTTGCCCCTTTAGAATACATTATTAAGATGCAAATGTCTCCTGGGACAGGGCAACGTTTTGCTCTGGAGACAAGAAGGATTCTGAAGACAACGAACTGGAAGCAAGGCCTCAGGTGCGAGTTACAGATGCAAGTATGCCGGAAGAGGGATGGGAAGGAGACAGTACAGTGAAGGGACGTGGGTGGGCGGGGCAAGCACATCATGTCAGGGTGCTAAGGATCTTCAAGAGAATCTAATTTGCTTCTTTTTTATAAAAGGACAGTGTGATGATCCAGGAAATTAAATAATTTGCAAAGTCCCACATCTGGGAAACTTCATAGAGATAAGAAATTGTTTCCTCACTGAGCCCTTGATAATAACAGTAATAATAAAAATAATAATAATGACAGCTAATGTTTTTAAACTCTTGCTATGGGAGAAGCACAGTTGTAAGCTCTTTATGTATATGAACTCATTTAATGCTCACAATCCCCTTAGGGGACAGGTAACGATCATTTTCTCATTTTTACAGATGAAAAGACTGAGCGATAGAGCAGTGAAGTCACTTGGCAAGGTCTCATCGCTCGTAAGTAGGGAAGAAGAATGTGTCACTTGAGGGAAAGACAGGAAGCCATGGCTCCTGGGTGTTGCGTGTATGAGAAAACCCCACCAATCTAGGGCAAGAAAGGATAGGATTTAAGAAGCACCCTAATATCTGGATATGGCACATTACTAGCACTGCTGCAGGAACTGCTGAAAAAGATATAGCCGAGCATTGAGTCCTATCAGGAGGGGAAGTCAGGGCATTGCTTGCTAAGGTTGACTTCATAACTAGGAGACAACACTAGACAGGAAGAAGCTCTAGGCTAGCATGCCATCCAAGGGTAGGAAAGGGTGACCTCATGTAGAGAGTTGTGTAGGAGTATTTCCTACAGTCCTTTGATCGGAGGCCTCAGGCTGCTATAAGATTTGGAGTCATTGATTGTGGTATAAGGAGCACTGGACTGGGAGTCAGGAGGCCTGGACATGAGTCATGGTCCTACTGATCCATGTGACCTCAGGGAAGTCACTTAACTTCTCCAGACCTCAAAATAAGGGAATTACCAGAACTCTTTCAGTTCTAGAATTCTAATTCTAAAATAAGTGTACTTCAAGGAGTGTCTGTTTGTCTTCCTTACCCTTAAAATGTAATTTATTTCAAAAGCAGGTGGTCTAGGCACTGATAAATGGTTTCTTGCATTCCCCCATAATTCCTTTCAATGATATATTTAGAGAGTTATATTTATAAATCCCTTTGAAAACCAGCGGATTTTAAAAATATTTGTGAGTAAAGAGCAAATCAAATTGTACCAATAAAATTAAATATATTTTGAAAAATGAAAAAGGGCTATTAAAACTTAAAGTGAGTTAGTTTCCACTAAACTCCCAAACTATCAAGGGACACTAAAAGAAAAAAAAATTTACTTTGAGGAATATGGCATGTAACATGTCTAATACCATTTAGTCATCATAACAACAAGATAGGTAAGAATTAACCCCTTTTACAGATAGAAAAACAGAGACTCAAAGATCATCAATAATTTGGTGAAGGACAAACAGTTAATAAGGGGCAGAAGTAAGATTCAACGTCAGGGCTCCAGGTTCCAAGTTCAGAGTTATCTACCTCATCCCAGCTGCATCAAGACCCTAGCACCACCAGCACATCGTTCTGATGAGTTGGGGAGAGGAACACGGAGGCTTCTGAGAAACACTACCTTGCTGCTTCTCCAGTAGCAGTGCCTCCATAGGAAGGAGAGACATCCCAACGGACCGGAGAGCAGTGCGAAGGCCCTGAGAGTTGATGAGGGCCTTCCAGCTCTCATACCACACCAAAGGACAAATGCCTCAACTAGACTTTCGGCTAAGCTGTGCCGTGGCCTAACAGGTTCACAGGCCCCTCTCTGCAGGAGAGAGTTCCCCATGACCCCATCCCACTTCAGCGGTTTTCAGGTCTAGATACATCCAAAAATTCCCATCATAAGAGAGAAACATGAAAAAGATGTATTTATTTTACAGTAAAGTGGTCAGGTGATGCAGTCCCAGTGGTGAAGCATGAGAAGCTCTCTTTCCCTGGGGTGGACAAAGACAGCCTGGCTACAGTGGCCTTTCCCCTGGACCACGTCAGCTGCTGTGACCACTTAGGGCCATCTGTGAGGTAACCACTTCCTTTTATTTACCCATTCTCAGAGGGGTGTGTGCTGGAACACAAACTCCTGCCCTTGGGCCCCCTCCCCCAAGCCAGTTCAAGCGCGGGATGGGGAAAAGCGTAATTTAGTAGTAGCATATAATATCAGCTATAGGTCAACATAGGTCAACAGTGTGGCATGACTGCTGAATGAAACGAACGTAACTGAGCTCTGGCATCGGATGAAGGAGCAATAGTTGTATTCACCCTCAATTAGAGTACCACAAGTTCCATCTTATTATAACTTGGGTATCAACTAGAGCACGTACGGGGCCCAAGAGTCTCTGTTTAATGCCAGGGCCTAAGCTGACCTTAGTTGTTAAAGAATGATTAAATGTTTGGAATGACGTGTACAATCTTCATTTGTTGCCGTGGTGTAGGTAGAGAGCAGGATTCATAGTCAGAACCCCTGCGTTTGAGTCCTGACTCTGGTCATTATTGGCAGTTCAATCCTGGACAATTTGGGTTATCCTCACTAGACCCCTTTATCTTCATAGGTAAATGGGGAGAGTAAAATGCCCACCTCGTGGGCTAGTTATGAGGATTAATTACACTAATATCTATGGCAGTACTTTATTACTGTCAAATGCTGAGTAAATGTTATTGATTATTATAGCCATCTTCCCTCCAAAAAGATTTTTTTTTCCTTTTTTGAGTTATGAGTTAACGAGCCATGCCATGATGGACTTCTAGTGACTGACATCATATGAAACAAGAACTAGGAGGAAGTGGCTGAGATAAATTCTCCCCCTAATTGCATCCACTTGTGAGTATCAGGGATGAATGCCAGGGCTCATTGGGCAGGATATTTCCCGGCAGGGATTAACAGACAAACCATTCACTCGAATAGCAGGGTTCACCCATCTTCCCTGTCTTTGCTAGCCCTACATTCCTAGAAAGCACATAACTAAACCTGTAGATCTGGCTTTTGTGTTTAATTTAATTTTTAATTTCAGGGAGCCATCTTGTTTTACTTCTGATCTGAAGCAGTCAACGGATTCTGTTTAGTGTAGCATTGTCCTGCCTTCTCAGAATGCTGCACAAATAACTACATAGGACAGAAAACAATGGAAGACAGACTTACAAATCCTGCACAGTGTTCGCAGAAGGTTGGCTTGAGATAGGTCATCTCCTGAAAATTATGGACAAATCCTGGTCCCATTTTACAGTGTAGTTGGGACTTAGCTCTCAGGAAGTAAGCCATCATTTCATCTTTACTAATTAGGCCGTCCCTGTGAAGAGAATCAAAGAAGAGCGGGGTCTTTGAATTCCATATTGAAAAGTGGTTGCCACACTTTAATCCTTTAGTTCCCAAACCTTTGTGGCTAAAAGCCGGTGGGGAATGTTTATTTCTTTGTTACATCTGAAGAAGGAGAGGACCTCATAGGACAGCTTTAAGTGTCAAAGACTTTCTCAATATGCAAATGAGTGTGCGTGTGTGTGTGTATGTGTGCGTGTGTGTCCTGTGCACCGCAGCCCAGAGAGTCTTCTTTGTTACTGAATTGTAGCTTCCAGAAGGACATCTCCTTTCTAGCCCTTGCCTCACAGTAGAGTGTGCAAGAATCAGTTTGCAGGAGAAAGGCAGAAAGAAAACTGACAACTGGACCTACCATTCTCATATTCGTTCAGCCTGATGTCATCCAGGCCATCTGCACTGGTAATCCTATCTTGGAGTCACCCTACCTGAGGAAGTCATGCCCATCCCCCACTCTCCAGCCTCCCCAGGACCCCGCTCCTTCCAGGTTCTGCTTCTGCTCTTCAGGCAGTACTTCTTCTGTTTACAAATATGCTCAGGAGTTCCCCTTCCTAAAACATGTCTTTCCTCAATCGGGCTTCCGTCTCTAACACTTGTCTTTTCTCTCTTCCTTCTCTTCCTCTGAAAGTTTTCAAAGAGTATTCATTAGACATTTTTTCCATTCCTTCTGTTACTCTTTCCTCCATATATTCGTGTTTCTAACCCTACCATTCTATTGAAACTGTCACAACGACATCCTCCGTGCCTTTCCTTGTTCTTTGAGCTTGTTGACCTGCTGGCAGCATGTGACATGGGGACAGGTCTCCTCCTTTGTGACAGTCTCTTCTCCACGTACCTCCGTGTTTCCCTGGTTTCCCTCCTGCCTCTCATGCTCTTCCTTCTGTGGTTCTTCTACAGGATCCACCTCTGCCTTTCAGCTTTTCCGTGTGGGGAGAGGAGTCCCCAAAGTCCCATTCCTCAGGCCCCATGCTCACGTTCCTCTCCACTTTCCCCTCTTGGCTCAAATATCCGGGAACCCCAGCTCACACCCCTAGGCTGCAGACTTCACCGACTTCTCCAGCCCTGACTATTCTCCTGAATTTTGGTACCACATCTTCAACAACTTACTGTAATCTCTTCCTGGAAGGTCCCCTCTCCTTTAAATACCAACATATATAAGACTACCTGACAAAATAAATCATGTAAGCTATGAACACTTAAAACCTTCGGTTTTAGAAAAAAAACAGATATAAATATAGATCTATAGATCTATATAGGAAGATATATAGATGTATAGATCTCTCTATTATATCTGTTGGGGCAGCCTCAGTTCCATCTAAAGAACCAGCAGAGAAAAGAAACAAAGACTGGGAAATGATTTTAAGATTATGTTCTATGTACATGCCACTCAGAAACAAACTAAGGGAATAAGTGGACAGTTTGCAGGTAATTTAAATTTTATTTTGTAAAGAAAGCTTAGGTTTCTAATAATTCACTTAAAAAGTATTCCTTGTTTAAGATATACAATAAAAATGAATTAAAGTTTTGAAGCACTTATGATAAAGTATCAAGGGTTTTCTTGGTGTATTGAATTACATACAGATTCAATTTTTTAAAAATTCTTACACCAATAAAAATATTAGAGGATTTTAATGGGATAAAATTTGGACATTTCACCAATATAATAAAATCCAGCAATTCATTACAGATAATTTTAAAACTACAAACTGATCTCATACAATTAAAAATTAATCAAATTATTAATACCAGGCTTTCTTGGCAATTCTTTTTTAATCATTATTTTTTTAACAAGCTGGGTTTTAGCCTCTAAAATCATCTAATTTTTCAAGAATTATTTGCACCTAAAGAGAAATATATTTTTTCTTTGTTAATCAAGGCAAACTTTGAAGTGGCAAAGAAAAAACAACAACAACAAAGCAAGGAGGACACTTGTTGGCTAGCTGCAGCCATCACCTGCTTTCATGAAGACCATAAGTAATAATAATAATAAAAACCTTAACTTGTTGGTGAGTTTTCAGATTGCCCTCAGGTTCACTGATGCCCAGGACTCTACCAGGCTAGCTCTAACTTTATTTCTCCTCTTTTTTTTTTGATGGATGTTTTGGGGTTGATGAACTAAGCAGTAGAAAATATGTAGGAAATGGAGAGCAGGGATAACTTGCTAATGTACACTTGTCCTCAACACTGATGATGTGATCTGCCTTGCAGTTCCATCCAACCAGTTATGTTTGTAGTCACCAAGAAAGAATTTATAGTGAAACGTTAGACTCATCAACCCATTAGGTGGAAGCTGTCAAGATATAAATTAACGGTATCTTTGTTCTCCTCTGATAATAATTTTCTGCTTCAGGAGAGTTATATTAAAATATAACAAAATTAAAACTTACTGATCTTTGTCTAGCACACAGAAGGAGTCCAAGAAGGGAAAGTTGGCAGCTATACTTTCAAAGTCCTCTTGGGAGATGTACCCATCATGGTCATGGTCATAGTTTCTAAACACAGACTGCAAAGGAAACAAAAATGTCTATTGAATGACCAATAACGAGTCGAGCTCTGAACTCATTATTGAGAAAGCAATGATAACTAGCATATTATTCTTTCTATCAAGGAGATTAGAACCTAGTGGGAGATAACAAAATCAAGAGCCTTTACGGTATAACAAGATGAGTACAATGCTGAAGATAAAAACAGAGTGTGGTTTCCTGGAAAACTTGAGGTCTAAATGAGACCTCAGGGTTGAGTAGGAGTCTGGCTTGGTGAATTCACAAATGCCAATACCATGACAATAGAAAATGAAGCCTTACAATGTTAACTTATCTCAAAATTTAAAGTACACTTTTAATGCAATTTCAATCAAAATCCCAGTGGGAATTTGTTTTGAATGATCAAACTGATTCTAAAGCTCAAGTAGAAGTGAACAGGTTGAGAACAGCCTAAAATTGTTTAAGATGAGAAAGAGGAAGAATGTACCCTACCAAATATTCGACAAAGCTACATTAATCCAAACAACATGGTATTATAACTTACTACAGAGTAGAGTCTGGAAATAGACCCATGTTTATACAGCAATTTAGAACATCAAAAAGTATCTTTTTAAATCCACAGGGAAATTATAGATTATCCAATAATTGCTGTTGAGTTAAATGACTAACAATCTTACAAAATTAATTGCCCCCAAACTAAATTCTAGATGCATTAAATATTATAATGTAAAAAAATTAAGCTGTGAAAGTACCAAAGGTAAATAGATGAAAATATTCTTCATGTTTTATAATCTTTGAGCATGAAAGGCCTTTCCTAGCATGACATCAAAGCCAGAAGTCATTAACAAAAATATTTTATTACAATAAAGTGAAAAATATCTGAATCAAAAAAGCTCAATTAACAAATTTAAAGATACATGACAGAAAACTATTTGCAACATATATAAGAGCAAAGACACAAAAGGAAAACTGGCAGTCTCCCAAGTAAAAATACATATGACCAATACACTCACGGAAAGATGCTCAATTGTGCTAGTAATTATAGAAATGCAAATGTAATGTTTTTTTACCTCTCAGATTAGAAAACATTAAAATAATTGGTAATTTCCTAGGGTATGAGAAAATAGGCACTCTCACTGAAGTTGGTGAAGTAAATAGCCAGTCTTTTTGGAGGACATTCAGTGCTTACTCTTTGACATAGTAATTCTACTTCTAGGAATTGTTCTAAGGAAATAACTGAACAAGTTTGCTCAAAAATGTGTGTGTGTGTGTGTGTGTGTGTGTGTGTGTGTGTGTGTTTATAGGGGGGATGAGATTGTACAAGATAATTTACAAATTATCAGTGGTTATCCCTAGAGAGGAGAATTCCCAAGGCCTGAAAATAAAACTTGTATTTTCTATATTTTATGTAATATTTGAATATTGATGACTCTTTCTTTATAATCAGACAGAAATTAGAAATATTTTTCCATTGCCTTCTGCTAAATTGGGTTTTCAAAAAGGTTTGTAAGATCTCCATGCAAACACATGTATGTAAACATATATTTGACCTGCAGTCCAGTTATAATAAATCTTTCTCCCTTTTCCCAATGGTTTCTGTCTATTCTCTTTTATCTGTATTGCCCTATGTTGCAAGCTGCTTCAGGAGTATTTTGGGAAGTAGGCCAGGTATGAATGAACAAATTACTTAATTAAAATATGATTGTTTAGCACTTGTAAGTTGTCTATAGATAACTGAATTGTACAAAATCACAAAGCATTGCTTTTTGTTGCAATCCCAATAGCAATACTTATCCACAACCAAACTTGCTTTAAAATTTAGTGATTATGGAGTGCCTACCATTTGCAGTCTAATATCCACATTTATACTGAAAGTACAAGATTTTTGTAATTTAAGATAAAATTTAGTATGGAAATTTGTAATAAAACCTAGTCTTTCATTTGATTAAACCAATGGTAGGCAACTTGTCCAGACTGGGCCAACCTTCCCTGTGGAATTGGAATTGGAAAGAAGAAAAGAGAGAAGGCATAAGGGGCACAGAGAGAGGGAAGAGGTGGGGGACAGACTCCCCCAGGTGGATGGGGAGCAAAGAAAGTCAGTCTGCAGAGAAAGGAATGAGCACTCAGAGAAAAGCAGAGAGGAGGGTGGGGGAGAGGCTAGTTCTGTCTGTCTTCCACTTCTTGATTCCAGACCTTCCCTAGCTGCAACTCCACCCCTCTGCTCCCCGCCCCCGCCCCCACCAGATCCTTTACCCACCTCCCCTGGTTCCAAGGTGGATCTGTTACTACAACATCATCTCGTCACCTTTCCTCACATCTTTCCTTGCTGCCTCACATGCACCATCTAACTCCTTCCAGTGCCTCACAGTTTCCTGGGTGATCCAAGATGTAGAACATTCTCTTTCTTTAAACATCCTTTCTCAGCAAAAAGTACATTGTATCTTAGAGACACAATCCTATGGTGTCAGAGTTTGCACCCATCCATTAAAGTAAATTTTAATCAGGGATCACAGTTTCTAGTGCCTGAGATTTCCCCCACATTGGTGCTTCTACTCCCCTTTCTACATGGAAAATTCTGACAGAGATTGACCCTTCGTTAAGTGGTACTTCTGACCTAAATGGCATTGTGCTGCTGTGTCACTGACCCCCAAATATATACAGCAAGAGAAAATATCCAACGTACAGGATCTTTCCTACCTTCAGGTAATCAATGTATTGGGCATCTTATGGTGGTGACTCATGTAGGTTTTGAATGAGTAGATTCTAATTCCCAAACAGGTCCTCAAGTGGCAGGGGCAACGGCAGAGGTGTCAAATGACGGAGAAAGAGAGGAATTGAAAGTATCTGAGAGTATTTGGGCAACTGAGTACAGACTTATAAGAAGGGGAAAGGGGGACTTTCAGGGAGAGTCTCCCCCAGAGGCTGAAACCCAGAGCTAAGTGTAGGCTAACTTGCTGTTCTGCAGGGGGCTATTTTCATGGACTCTGTCTGATTCCTGAGCAACTGCAGAATATTCTGGAAAAAAAGGTGCCTTCCAGTGCTCACTCTTTACACTTCCTCAACCACTTACCTCAACTAATTTCCTTATGTGCTTGTTGATGATGGTGGGGTCTGGCTTTGGCACCACTCCTGATGCCCACTCCAGGGGCACCACAGGCTTGGTGGGCGTTGTAGGAGAGGTAGGCTGCTGACAGAAAACACACACATTTTTCAACTTTATCTGTGGTCTTGAACAATTGGAACCAGGGACTCTAAGAAAGACACGTACATTTTGTATATTAATAATACCAGTAAAAACTGACATGTACCGTAGCACTTAAATGTTTTGAAAACAAACAACTTTTGTCAATGGAATCTAATCTGTAACTGAATACATATTTGGATAGGGCATTTTGTTTAGCAACAGCCTAGATGCGATTATTTTAAAAAGGAAAAGTATAATTGCTCTCCCAACCCATTTAAAAAACCCTATCTAAGCTTCCCAACTATTACTAAAACAGCCTTAACCACCTATATAAAAATTCATACAGATTTCGTATAATACAAAATAGATAAAAAAGAACTCAGAGGGGTATAAAAGATGTTTCAAACTTCCAAGGGAAATACAATGATACTTAACATTTGTCAGACGCCATGCAAACTACCAGCTTGAAGCAGTTCCCAGGTCACCCATTAGATCGTGCTACATTTCTTTCAATGATATCATGTATTTCCGAAGCAAAAAAAAAACAAAAAACCACCAACGTGCAACAAGAAATAAGGGTGGCAGTATCCAGTCTGATTCCAAGATTTAAGAAATTGTACGGTGCCCAACAGGCACACATATCCATTAGTAAATAATTGTGGTTAAGAATGAAATTAAAATATTGTTTTTATTTCAATGTATATGTATTCTTTTTTTCAAGTGGGTACCGAGTCATTAGAACATAAATGTTTGTTAAGTTGTTTGGACCTAACTATTGTATAAGTGGAACCATTCGTTAAGTATTTTGTTTGACCTAGAGGTGGTATGTAAAACCTGAGACACAAAGTAAAGCACAAGAACTAGCGAGGCACTAAGGGTTTCACTATGAACAGAAAAAGGTTCTTAGTGCAACTGACGGTTTAGGTGAGGTTGGCTGGCATCAATGGTACGCGCATTGATGTTACAGGCTCTAAGGAATATTAACCTGACTGGAACTTGTTCTCCAGTTCTCACCATGTGTCAAACGTTAGGCACAAATTAGGATGACATTCCACTCAAAGAAGAGACAGAAGGGGATTGGGAAATGTGTTTGTATTGTAAAGATACACAGAATTTTAGCACTTAGAAGGGGCTTTGAAAGCGTCTTTAAAATAAAATAAAATAAAATAAAAAGACTTTTCTATATTTGATAGAAATGTCTCTCAAAATTGGCAAAATTTTATCCTGACAATAAACCGAAGTAAATCTAAAGAGCACAAATCAGGCAAGTGTGCTAAAATGGTCGCTTCTAGCCTGTTCCTGATACAAGACCGCGCATGTGTACTGCGGTAGAAAACAAACAAAAAAAAAGCATAGACGTTGAACACAGACAGGCTTGAGGCAAGATCCCAGTTTTCCCACTTACTAGCATGGTCAGAGACCTATGCTCACCAGACTCAGTTTCCTTAACAGAGTTAATGAGATAATGTGTATATGATGCCCTACCAGGCATCCAACAACCTACCAGGTAGTAAGGTTCCTGGTTATAGGTTAAAGGAAGGTGTCGGAGGTGGAAATGCTGTGTGCGCATGTGCACTACAGCTGACCACACCACAGCCAGCTTCACGACACCAAAGCTATGGAATGAGGGAGGAACTTACAAATCCTTTTTTTTTTTCCCCCTATAACTTTACCTTTCTCTCCAGCTCTCTCTTAGTCATGCTAACTTTGAAGAGTCTGGGTCTCCCCACCCCTCCCTTTGTGCTGTATCTTCCCACATGGCCCAGCAGACGGGCTTCTGTGGACTGGCAGGAGGTGAATGTGCTGATGGAACCACCCACTCACTATTTTAAGAACAGATGCTACCAGGTCAACTGACTCAGGTTCATGTGCATGCCTTCCCAGCGCCAGAGAACAGCACTCAACAGTCTTTCTGCCTCTTTCAGTCCCATGGTTCAGAATCACAGTGGGTAGTAATATAACAGATGAATAGACTTAGGGTCTAGAGTTGCTGGCAACGTGCCACAGAGTTCAACTGATAAGGAGATAAGCATGAGACCTTTATAAAAAAAAAAAAGCTCAGGATATGGTATAACAAACAAAGAAACACTTTTTCCTACAACATGCAAATCTCATCCTCATTGTAGATTTTAGTTCTTTTTTTTTTTTTTTTTAGCTGAGCCATCCTGCCACCTGTTGGCAGCTCAGCGGCTGCTCAGCTCGGGCTGACTCGAACCACTGTTGCTCAGAGCTCAAACTCTTGAGCGAGCTCTTAACCAACTGAGCCACTCAGCCGGCCCCTCATTGTAGATTTTAAATGCACCCAGATATTTTTTTTACCAGAGCAAAACCATAGCTAAGACACAGTCCACTTGCTAAAACTAATGAGCAGTGCACATTCAGTAATGCAGTTTCTTCAATCTCATTATATAATGTTTCTTTACTAAGAGCCAGCCATCAATTAAGTGAGACACTTTCCCATGTGATATTGAAATTCTGAGTGGAGGCAATCACTAATAGAGAAATTTGTGAATTAAGACCATAGTATTTAAAATTTATGAAATCTAATTTTATGTTGAATGGAATTTTTTTTTTACAAAAGCTTGCAAGGATCTAAATGATCTTCAGTAAGATGAGTTATGGTTCACTTTATTTTGGTCCTATACATAGGTGAGTTTTCAAGTGGACACAATCCATAGATCAATAATAAAATAGAGTACTTGCAAATGATCTTCTTCTTTATTAGCCTATGTAAAGAAATAATTCTCCAACAGTCAGGGCTAAGCTGTTTCATTGCTAAAATGGCAATAATACAGATTTTAAAATTCTTCAATCTTTAGGTCACGGAGCACCACTGTAACAGCCAACTACTGTAAATGACAAACCATGGTGTTTGATACTCATGCTTAGAGAGAAAGCAATACCTACCGATTTAGAATTTCTAGGCTCCAGCACCAGGGACAGTTGGTAAATATCATCTTCTGTGTGATAGAGGTCCAGAGAAAGCTACAACAAATTAGAAGGGATAAATAATGAGGTTGGATCATATTTATTTACACTGCTGAAATAGTTTTCAATCTGGATGTCTAAGCCCAATGTCTAGTAATTTGAGTGAATTCAGAACAGTACAAAGATGGCATGCAGAGGTGGAAAATGAAGTTGAAAAGAGAAAAACTTAGACCTCGTGTGGTCATCAGCATCAACAAGAACCACTAACTCAGTTCCTCAGTAATACTTATTGAGCAGCTCCTAAGCTCTGAGCTGGAGATAAGGTATCCATGATGTTGAGAAACAGAGTCAGATGCATAAAGTGAGACTTGTAAATGCAATAAAAGCTGTGTTAGAGGTTTGATTAAAGAACTGTAGAAATAAAGGAGCTGGGTTGGCTGAGTGGCACGTTGGTTAGGAGTTGGCTTGGGACGCCAGCTCTGAGCAGCAGGGCCCTGGTTCGGATCCCACATGAGAGCCAGTGACTCTGTGCCCTCTACCACTAAGATGGTGAACAACAGCTCGACCTGGAGCTGGGCTGCAGTGAGTCGCTGGCGATGGCGTAGGCTGCAGTGTGGCTGGTCGGCAGCGGGCATGAGCTTTCGTGAGCTGCTGTGAGCCGCCATGAGCGGCCGTCCAATGGCCGGCAACCGATCTGCCTCACCCAGGAAGAGTACAATGATAATACCAATGTGGGCCAGTGAAGCAACATCCTCCACAACTAGACTGAAGAACAAAAGGATAGCAACTTATCTGTTGCCCTCCTCCAATTCCCCAATAAAATCTTTAAAAAAAAAAAAAAAAGAAAGAAAGAAGGTAGCAATTAATCGATTTCTGTTATTTTAGGGCATGGTGTTAAGTCCTGGTCACATAAAATGGTACAAAATCATTCTTGCTCTCAAGGGCCTGACAATTTATTGGAATAAATAGGACCTGAACACAAAAAGTTTTGTTCATATCAACAAAAGGCAATACATGCTAAATGTGAAGTAAGTTGCTCTACTCTAAGCGCTCTAGAAATTGTTCAGGGAGGCAGTATATAAAGCATGCGGGAGAGGATTGGAGTTGAGCGGGTCTGAGTTCAAATGCTGAGCCTGCCGCTGGTTAGCTCTCTGACCTTCAGCCAGTTATTTCCTACCGACAATCAGTTTCTATATCTGTAAAATGGGCATGATCAGGAAAGTCCCTACTGCATTAGATTTTTATCAGGATCAAATGGAATAATGCTTGTAAAGTACTTCACACGCAACCTGGTATACAGTAAGATCTCAAGAAATGTACTTTGGTGCTGTTGTTACTTTTACAATGATTGCTGTTACTACTAACATTATTATTATGTGTGAGGGCCACTGAAGGCAGAAATGATCAGGGTTGATTCACACAGAAACTTGTGGATTGGGTCCTAACTGGGAGGACTTGGACAAGGAAAGAGGGAAAGAAAGACCAGGGAGGCATGGACAATGAGACCAACATTGGAGAGCATGGGTAAAATCTAGAAAACTTGAAATGCATGGTCTCACTCACCTGAAACAAAAGTCATGAGACTTAAAATAAGCCTGGGTAATTCCTGTCTTCAATGGTAAGACAACTGATGGATCATAGCATTTTATCACCAGTTAAGATAGCCACGTGCCTGTCCTTTCTTTGAACATTTAGGTGTGAAAAATCTCCTCTAACATTTTGTCTAAAGATAAGGCTTGGTGTTTATGGGTATATGGGTATGGAGTGAGGGGGAATAGATTTTAGGGGGGAGCAACATAAAACTCAAAGGAAAAGGATGTATCTTCTTGTTCTAGCTCAGGGGTCGGCAAACTGCGGCTCGCGAGCCACATGCGGCTCTTTGGGTATGTACATGTGGCTCTGAAGTAAAATTGAAAATGAAAATAAAACTATCATAGTTTCATTTATAAAATATTTAAAGGATATTATTCACATAGTGGTGATTTCATTTGTTTTATGGCTCTTGAATAATTTTTAAATTGTTCTTACATTCCAAGGATTGGCTCTTCCATCTCAAAAGTTTGCCGACCTCTGTTCTATCTCATTTAAAAAAGAAGTTGGAAAAAAAGATGAGGTTAACCAAAAAAAAAAAAAAAATTCCACATGGTCATGTATGCCCATCTTCAAACATGATAGTGAATAAATAAATAAATAAATGTAAGATGATTTAAAAAAAAAAGAAGAAGTTGATATTATAAAACAGCATTTGGAATCATTAATTCATTCATTCAACAAATATGTATTGATCACTTAATATGGGCCTGGGACCATTCTAGTCACTGTTCTAGCTACTAACTATAACATTTAAATTAAGGATTTCATACATCAGTTCATATACTGCTCTACTTGGACTAATGACCTTATAAATCACCTAAAGGTGTTTTATAAACATAATAAAATTGACTTCACTATAAAATTGCCTCGGCATTATTTCTGATCATGAAACTGTATCCACCTTCCCTTGACCAGCAGTGACTCCTACATCCAGGGGCTCTGCCTTTTTGCAGTAAAGGACCATCCCCACGTCACAAACTAATGCCTTAAGGAGAAAGCCCATTATACAAAGAGTGGCGTGGGATGTGTGAAAGGGATATTTTGATAGAGATATTGGTATAACAATGCACTATTTGGAAAAAGGGTCTTTGCAGATGTGATTAACCTGGGGATCTTTCCTCTTAGCTCAACAATAAGGAAAATCTGTGATGATACCTAGACTCTGACATTGGTTGGATCTCTGGGGTGGGAAAGCAATAGGGAGTGATGGGGTCTCTGATGAATGAGGGGCAGCCGTACTCAGCTAAGGCGAATGGTTGTCATCCTGACAATTGCGATGTCTTCTGGTTTGTTAACAGAAGTCAGAAATCTGGAGTTTTATATGAAATATCCCAATTTCTACACACTGGCAGCTAATAACAAAAAAATGTTATGGTTCCATGTAACCCAGTAAAACACATCTGCTGTAGGTAGTTGCCCATTTTGTAAATTCCATGATAGAAGACTCTGCAAGTCTCTACCTTATGAGAGGAAGCAGTGCATCTATCCTTTCCACCTCTGTATTCCCTGTCCCAGCTTGGTGCCTTGCATTGTGACTGCTACACACATAGAAAAAGAACCTAATGACTTCTTCCTTCTGACTTCCTTGTTATTAGGCGTTAATCCGGACTTTGATGAGCATATTCCTATCTTTCTGACTCTAATAACAGGTGCTGGCATCTGCTGGAGAGGGGACAACAGCAGTGCCAGAACATCCAACCAGAAAGTCAAGTAAACCACACACTAAGTAAGGGAGATTCTTCTCAAAAGACACCGAATATCCTGGGGTATTTTCGCATGTCACATGGACAGATGTCTGAGCCTATGATGGAAACATTTTGATCTTCTCCAGATGTTTGCTCTTCATTTATTAGTGGCAGTGTGATGCTGGGCATGTCCTTAACCTTCTCGAATCTCAGTCTCCAGATCTGTAAAACGGGAATCATAAATAACAGCTTTCTTTCAGGACGGTTGTGAAAATTAAATGTGTCCCATGGGGTTTGTTCAGAGAGCTGCACAGATGGTGACTGCAGGCTGTGGCTTCCAGTCAGGGCAGCAGCCGACTGCCACTGTGCTCATCGATGAAAGTGTAGCTGTCCTCTGGGTTAGTCTCACAGACGCTGTGCTTTCCCAGCCACGAGCCTGCTTTCCATTCTCTGGCCTTTTCTGGGCTGTATGATCCTGTACACTGTGACCTCGTCTACTTCCTTTACCATTTTGATAATACAGGCAGCTTGTCAATAGGATTTCAAGAGTATTTACGAGAATTTCAGGATCGGTAACATATTTTGAGTTTGGTTGTTCTGAAAAATGTTTTGAGTCACTGTCTCAGGTTGCTTCCATTACACCCAAACTTATGGGCAACAATAGTTGTGGGGTTCCGTCTGGACATTAGAACCCACATGGCCTGGACTGAAGAATTGTAACATGAAACATACTTGGTCAGCAAACTATCTCTAGTCACCATTTTTGAATTTTTTTTCTTCTTATGAGACCGTAAAAATACAGGGGCTTTCCAATTATTTGCATACACTCAGAATGGTAAAAGTAACCGATAGATCTAAAAATATTATGAAAAGAATCAGATAATGATTTCATATATCATGAAATGAGAAGCATCAGCTTTAAAGCTCCTGGTACATGAATTGGAATCACAATTAAAAAAAAAAAAAAGAAAAAAAAATGTCTTCTCCAGCTCTTCCCTGAAAAGAGGAACAATCTAAAACCCCAGCAGTTGGGTGGTGTGGTCCTTCTTCCTCGTGTGCCAAGGGCCATTCAGGGGGCAAAGGTGACAGTGATTAAAATGGCAGACACTGTCTCTGCCCTCATAGATTTTTGTGGCTTAATCAACTCCTTTACACACCCATGAAGAGGGAGAGACAGAGAGGTTATTTAATTTTTACAAATGCAAAATAAAATAAAAGTCAACAATATTGCCACATTACAAAGTAAATATCTACCAAAGAATGAGAGAGAGAGAGACAGAGAGAGAGAGAGAGACAGAGAGAGAGAGAGAGAGAGAGAGAGACAAAGAGAGAGAGAGAGAGAGAGAG